TCCACACGCTCCGCACTCCGCGCGAATAAACGAACGCAGCTAGTGACTCTCCGCTCGTTTTTCCTCTACCCTGCCCTCTCAAGCACCTGCTATTTTATGGGTGCATCGAAAACACGACACTTAAAGTAGGGTGCGTTCTAGTGACACAACAGGGTTGCGTTTAGAGCCACTCTGGGTGTGAGAGTGACCCTAGAGTAACTCCGTAACCGTTCATAAATTAACAAGTGCTTAAAGCCTGTTTTTTTTTTAAAAGATAAAAGTCAAAATGACATTATGTTGGCAATACAATGTAAAATTGTCAATGCTTTCAAATTTTTTATATAGAACAGGCTTGTGTTGCCAACATAGTTACTAAATTTTTGACTTGGGGAATTAAAAAAAAAAAACAGACTTTACTTGGAGTGTTAGGGTGGATTTTCATGCATCCGTTTTTCCGACGAAAGATGTCCGAAAAACATTCTATTCTGACATAATCGTATAAAAATATGTCAAAATAGAAGATTTTTCGGACATATTTCGTCGGAAAACGGATGCATGAAAAGTAAGCTTTAAGCCTAGTACTCATAACTGCGAAATACGCACTTTTTTGACATTGCTTCGACAAATTGACGTTTTATGCGTGAATCAAACGTCAAATTGTCGAAGCAATGTCAAAAAAGTGAGAATTTCGCAGTTATGAGTACTAGGCTTTACACTGGAATCGTTCAGGAATCGAGAGTTGACGTGCCCAGAGTGCGCCCAAATTATCCCACTCAGGGACTGGGTTGAATAACGCCCCGCTGTTTTTACTGGGTTTGACGTGATTTCAAGGTTATTTTCATTATGATTATTCTTAGTGATTATTAGTGATGAAGTCTATCTGAAGCACTTTCTTCAGATAAAGGATGTTCCAGCAGAACCTCTTTTGATACGAACATAAAACATGCACTTCTTACTGCCATTTTTAAAATTGTAGTGTTGAACTTGCGTCGTAATTCAGGACATTGGACTACCGCAACGCCCCAATACGTTCAGAAATAGCGCACCCAGAGTGCTCTCCAAGTGATGAGGTCAAAACACTCTAACAAACAACTACTCTATCTTCGCACTCCATTTCTAAACGCATTCCAGTTGTTGCACCAGAGTGTGAAGATAGAAGCTACGGGCGTGGAGCAGCAAATTCGTCACACGTGGTGTGAAATGAAAACCATTTCCGACGTCATCATCTGTTCAAACAGCCTACGTCAAGGCGAGAAATAACATGCTGCCTACGTCACAACTGGTAATTTGGCTTGGGGGTAAAGGGGGCGGGATTTGTTATACACAGTAGGCGTTATGAGGATAGGCCATTCTGTAGTAGTAGTGTGTATCATCCTTGCCCTGCAACAGCCGAGGCCGAGAGGATTCCGAACCCACGATTCGATAATAGGTCTCTTTGGATCTACCTCTTGATGATTCGGACTGTTCAAAATCAGTTCTGAATTGAACTGCGCTTGCGCATTTGTTTATGTTCGATATGAATAAATGTGCAAACGCAGTTCGATTCTGAACTAAGTCCAAACAAACCTAATTCCTCGTCAGGTACTTTTGCACCAGTTTATTTGGATTGACACGGTGCACTTCCTGTGATGTCACGTACGTTACTCCGTGATCGCTCTGTTCGCTCCATGGAGCCACGGGAGTGCACTATATCAAGCCAAATGAAATAATACAAAAGGGTGCAAAAGTACTTGAAAATACAGGATACTTTTGTCTCAATTTAATAGATCGGCGCGCCCGTTCCAGAGCCGCTTTCCAGTATGGAAGTGTGACGCCCGGAGCTACTCGGGGCGTTGAGCCCCCGAGCTGTACGTACGCGTCAACCTATCAGCTGCCACATCTGTGGGTGGCTATTTATCTATTTATTTCTTGTTATATCTCAAGATTGAACATTTTAATAGTTATTAATGATACAAGTTCGATATGAACGCCATAATGAAACGCGTGTAACGTTAAACCACGAGGCGTTAGCCGAGTGGTTTAGTTACACAAGTTTCATTAATAAAGTTCATATCGAACGTGTATCATTCAAAATTTAATCTACAATGGTCCAAATAAATTTGATTTGCCTTGAAATAGCAAAAACTTTTCAAATTAAAATTTGAAATTTAGCAGGTGCCCGTACTAGTCGAGAACCTGCTTGTTGGTTTTTAGAATTTTGACTTTGGCAGCTTCAATATTGGAGTCCATTTTTGTGCCATAAATTCAATTTTATAGTGGAAAATAATATTATTATTGGTGATTCTGAGTTCGAAAGTGTCTCTTCCAATATAGAGACATCATTATTGAAAAGGTTCTTCTGGCAACTAACTTTCTTTTTGTATATTTTTCATTTCAAAATTTGGGTGTTATTATGAATTCTTAAACGCACTAGTGCTATTATGAAGGACCTAATGACATTCAAATGACAATGCTAAATGTGTCATAATGACACCGACGTAGATTAAATATATAGTTTTGATTCTCTTTCATTTTTGATAAATAAAAAAACAAACTGCACAAACAAACAGATAATTATTTTTAAAATTTGACATATTTGACATAAGACTGGCGTCTCACGCCATGATACTGGAACGGTACAAATCTAGTGCGTGGCGCCCCCGAGGTGCTCTGGAGCGCGCCAGAGCGCGCCAATGTGCATACTGGAAAGCGGCTCAGGTACGTGTAAAGTCTGTTTTTTTTTTTAAAGATAAATCCCCAATTTAAGTCAACGATTTAGTAACTATGTTGACAACACAAGCCTTTTCTACATAAAAAATTTGAAAGCATTGACAAGTTTACATTGTATTGCCAATATAAGATCATTTTGACTTTTATCTTTAAAAAAAAACAGACATTAGTGTGCAGGCAAAGTGTATTCCTTTTATACATCGTGTCACACCAAACGTGTCGCTCTAGAGCTTCTCGGAGTCACTCCAAAACACACAATTCAGATTATCATTATTCTTTATTGATGGTCTAATAGGGCTTCTTTTGCACCCCACGCAAATTTGGTGCATCAAGGGTAAGGGGGATGCACTATAAGCGACTCGAGTGCTTAATGTACAGTCTAATCCCAAAATAGCGAAAAATGACAAGATCTGTCAGCCGGGTGTCCGACTTTTTATGCTCACAGCTGCACTTTTAAAAGGAATGTTCAAGCTTATGACATTGAGCAGCTCCGACTAACTCAACGGGTTAAAGGAATACAAATTGCGAACCAGTGCAACAGTCATTTCACACTCGATCTAGAGTGACGGTTCGAAGTGTTCGAACCAAACCAACGAGCCGAACTGCACTAGAGCTATATGACAAGTAGTTGTATTCCTTTCACAACTAGGACGAGCTCCGGAACAGCTCCGGGGCTTCACGCGCTTATTGCTTTCGAAAAGTGTTTGTTGCACCACGCATCTCTGTTCCTTTCAAAATTGAGGGCGACTAACACCGGAGCGAGTAGATCAAGTGTTTTAAACTCTTGAAAGGAATACAACTATAACATCGTGTCGCATTGTCGTATCGCTAGCTCGTTTTTCCCTCACCCTAAAAAAAAAAAATGTGTGGCGACATCTACTTAATATATCTCATACTACCAGCCATTCAAGCCCAAGGATAATACACACTACTACTACAGGATAGCCTATCCACATAAGGCCTGTGTAGAAAGAATTTGAAACCTCCCCACCATGCCAAATCATTAGTTGTGATGTAGCAATTGGTCGTATCTCGCTTTGACGTAGTTTGCACCACAGGTTATGATTCCGCGGGCTTTTGCTTTATGAATACTTGATTTCACTACAGTAATTAAAATTTGCAGGTTTACAGCAACAACTATTTTTTAGGTCTCGTTTACATCTTCCTATTTAAATCAAACTGAAATAATATTTTTCATCATAAATTTACTATGACCGCTGGCGCAAACAGTTAACGTCGCTGATGACTCAGTTAATGACGTCGACAATGGTGATACACGATACACCAATATGGCGGCGATTACCAAAAACGAGGCCGATAAGCAATCCTTAGTAGTTGTGTATTGTCCTTGATTCAAGCCCGCCATTAGCTCTGGTTCCGTTCCAACCGACATGAGATTAGAACCGTTCTAGAACGGTAATTTCCAGTTAATCAATTCGTTTGTCAAGTAGGATAAACGTTCAACTTATTGAAAAATAGATGGGCAACTGGAAATGACTGGTTTGGAATTGTTCTCATGTCGGCTGGAACAGAGCTTTTATCTAGATCATGATAAATGTGTATTGAACGGTATTTTGTTCTGAGTTCTCCGAGCATGAATTTACCGATTGTTTATTTAAAAAGTGTACTCGGTGCAGGCTCATTTGCGTTCGTTTATTAAAATTTCGGGAAATCGGATACTGGTCGGGGATTCTAAAATCACGATTCGACATACGATTCGACAACGAGACGATTTTTCCGACGATTCTAGGTTAGAAATCTCATTGGAATTATACCTTTCGACACGACAAGGCCGGTATCGTTGTCGAGTCGTGTGTCGAATCGTGATTTTAGAATCTCGGCCCTGCGTTTAACTGCTCTGTTCGCTCGTTGGTCACGTGATTACGGCTCCGCTCCGCACGCTCTGCTCTTTGAGCAAAATACCGAACGCAAGTGGAATATGTAACTTGAGCCGATAAAACAGTTTTCTATATAGGATATTATTTATGACAAATAACTTGTCAGCGTCAATTAAAGGGGCGGTTTGATTTTTGACAGTTTGTATTTTTGAAAATTTAACGGTAAATCATTGCGGTAAACTGTCTTCGCTTTGTTCGCGTCAGAATATAGATCCTAGAATTATTAAAGTTATTTACTGAATAATTCTTCAAATTTTGTTAAAATTTAAATTTAAGTGACTACTGAACTATGTAAAGCTAAATGAATTTGTATCGATTTTTCTAGAATTAAAAATAATTCCAACTTCCAACGGTTTTGCTTTGTCAGCTGTCACTTTTGGCGTAGGAATAATCGACGTCCTTCCTTTCCTTCCCGCAAAAGATTAGAGCAGTCATCTTACATGTGGTGTCCACCGGTATTTTAAGTAAAAAAACCCGAAAATAATCCCTTGAATTAGTTAAATACGTAAATTATAAAGTGTAAAGATGCATCAGGAAACCCTACAACTGGTGCAAGTCCTAGAAAAAACCGTATCGCCGGGTAAGTACACCTTTTTCCACAAGGTCCATTATCAACTTGTCATTTTTTTTTCTTACATATTATTATAAAAATTCTATTTCATTGTTTATAATGTTATTGTAACAACAAAAACGTAATAGGAAATATACTAATCACTAAATTTAGTAATTACCGATAACCTTCAGTAGCATATTAAGGTCGTTGGCTCTGATTTTATCTAGCCTGTGATATCACACATCACATCACATATTTGTAAAAGTTTCCCAGGTTTTTATCATTTTATCATGAAAATCGGAATATATCGATATATTTCTATGTAAAATTGGTTTTGAATGCTTATTGGAAATCTCTCATAAAGTAGCAAATACTAACTGCAAAAATGTTTGGTCATTTTTCTGACTCATCTATAAAAGGAATAGGAAATGTCTTTGCTGGTTAGCTAAAAACTGTTGCTTTTGGATATTATAGCATAGGTGACATGATTTTGAGGTTGCCTAAACATAAATTGGAAAAGGAAAATGAGAAACATTTACCTAACTCTCGACCTAACTATTGCAATGTAAATGTAAAACAAGTAGGTTTTGAGAACCACCTAGGGAAATTGCTTAGGGTAAAGAGCCAATTCGATTTCTGTTGTTGATCAAAAACAACTTCAACTGCAATCTTATCTGGATATTGCACCATAGAAGTGTTGCAGTGTATGAGTGTTAGTGTAGCTATGCTAACATGAAGTTGAGTAGAGACAGACAATGCAACATATGCTCCAATGTCTAGACTTTACCATAACATGGATCAGATTTTTCTATTCTCAAAAATGAATTGAAAACATAACCCTTATAATCTCATGATTTTATATAGTAGAGAAGTTCCGAGAAAAGCGAGGATAAAAGTTCTTTATGTAGAGAAAAAATAAACTAAAAATTAAAATAATGCATAATTGTAACCAATTATTTTAATTTTTTTGTATTAAAGTTCAACTGAAGTGCATATCAAAATACTAATATGTGATACATGGGGAGGAAGTCAAAAAAATCAAATCAGGGTTTCAGTACTAACAACAGAAATTGTGGTTGGATTCTGATGAGCATCAAAAAATAAATATTGTAGGTGTTATTCCCTTGCAAGAGTTAGAAATTGAAATATCAGCAATATGCATCAAATACTTACAAGGTCAAAAATATAATATTTAATGGATTAACATTTATTTTTAGATAAGCAGAACCCTCGACTCAACAGAATAATATATTTTTTTTTATATGTGTCTCTCTGTTCTCCATAAATTTTTGTATCCCATGAAAACTTTTCGCCATCTACTGTTACTGACTTTTATTCTATAAATTAATGATTAGTCAGTACTCGGTACCTTCCAACTTTAAATAGTTATTTTGAAAATTTGATATGAAATAATTAAACAAAAATGAACATTCTAACAACACATTTAGAAATATAATATGTTGCTTACTCATTTGTTTTTCATCAAGATTGTCTGATGAATACACTTATTCTGGTACTTTTCCTCTTGCTGTTTTAGAAAATATAAACATTTCTTTTGCATTTTGGTTTTGAAGCTACTAAGTACTGAACTCGGTACTGAATCATCAATATCCTCAGCTACTACTTCCCAAATTCAATAATCCCTTTTATCTGAATACATGATATTGTCCCTCAATTAGGCACCTTTAGTTTCAATAATTGCAATGCCTTTTTTGTTTTAAGTACAATTTAGTTTAATTCAGTCGATTGATTGAGTAAGTACCTAATTCTATTTATCAAACTATTTTTTTTGCAAATATACACAAACTGATTACTGACATTTTGAAACTATTAAATTAAAGAACATTTTTGGTTTTGTTATCATACTTGTAGTAATTCTTCTGGTGAGGTGAACATTTACATTGAGGTGTAACCTCAGGTGAAAGTCCCCCATAGATGCCAAGTAATATTAGAGATAGTGTTTACTTTATGTTCAACTTCCAGACAAAAATGATCAGGATCAAGCCTCCTCCTTCCTTGAACAAGCAGCAGCCACAAATCTGCTGGGCTTCATCAAAACTCTGTCCGACGTCCTCAGACATGGCGGCAACAGTTCTGTGGCCCGAATGGCCGCTGGGCTACAGCTCAAGAATCAACTTACAGCCAAAGACCTGAGCATGAAAGATCAATACCAACAAAGATGGCTCGCCTTTCCTGCCGACGTTAGAACCTACATCAAAAAAAATGTTGTTGGGGCTCTTGGAACTGAAACTAATAGGCCATCCTCTGCGGCTCAATGTGTGGCTTATATTGGAGTAGCTGAGCTGCCAAAGGGAGATTGGCCAGATTTAATTTCAACTTTAGTTGCCAATGTTGTGAATGCTACATCAGAAATGCAAAAAGAAGCGACCCTAGAAACTATCGGTTATATTTGTTCTGAAATTGACTCCGACGTTCTTGTAAGTCAATCAAATGACATTCTAACAGCCATAGTAAATGGTATGCGAGTAACTGAACAAAATAATCACGTCAGGTTAGCAGCTACAAGGGCTTTATTGAATTCTTTGGAGTTCACTAAAGCTAATTTTGAGCAACCAACTGAAAGAAACTATATTATGGAAGTTGTTTGTGAAGCCACCCAATCTCCTGAGGCCCAAATTAAAGTTACAGCATTGGAATGCTTAGTAAAAATCATGACACTTTATTACCAACACATGGAAGCCTACATGTGTGCTGCATTATTTCCTATCACATTAGAAGCCATGAAGTCAGAGAATGATGCAGTTGCATTGCAAGGAATAGAATTTTGGTCCAATGTCAGTGATGAAGAGGTAGATTTATCCATAGAAGATAGTGAAGCTCAAGAAGCTGGCAGGCCACCTTCTCGAGTTTCGCGTCATTATGCTAAAGGTGCCCTTCAGTACATTGTCCCAATTTTATTGCAAAAACTAACAAAACAAGAAGAATTAGATGATGAAGATGATTGGAATCCCAGCAAAGCTGCTGGTGTTTGCTTGATGCTGCTAGCGACATGTTGTGAAGAAGAAATTGTCCCTCATGTATTGCCATTCATTAAAGACAACATTAAATCTGATAATTGGAGATATAGAGATGCCTCTCTTATGGCTTTCGGTTCTATATTGGGTGGTCTAGATTCTGCTACATTAAAACCTTTAGTAGAACAAGCCATGCCAACACTAATAGAACTTATGTATGATAGCAGTGTTGTAGTCAGAGATACAGCAGCTTGGACCTTCGGCAGGATTTGTGAGATAATACCTGAAGCTGCCATAAATGAAGCCTTTTTGAAACCATTGCTGGAAAGTTTGATTACTGGACTTAAAGCTGAGCCCAGAGTTGGAGCAAATGTTTGCTGGGCATTTTCAGGTAAATATTTTTAATAATTTTAAATTCACTTTTCAATGAATTATGTTTAGGTTTGGCTGAAGCTGCATATGAAGCTGCTAACCGCGACATTGGCGGCGGTGATGATCCAACTCCTGAAACTTATTGTTTATCGCAATATTTTGAATTTATAGTGCAAAGGTAACTATTTCAACCTCTTTTTGTTAACTAATAATCATGTTACTTTTTTTTTAAAAAAGGCTATTGGAAACTACAGACAGACCAGACGGGGCACAGGCCAATCTTAGGCCTGCTGCCTACGAAGCCCTTATGGAAATGATTAAAAATTCGCCTAGGGATTGTTACGTTACTGTACAAAAGACAACAATGATCATTTTGGAGAGATTACAACAGGTAATGGTGAGTTTAGGTAAAAAAAACAAATTACCAACTAAGAATTGACCGCAATGGGTAGTTTCAGCACATTTGAATTTCATCGTTCTAATATTTGAATGGAACTGAATGAATGAGTTGTATGAACTTGAATAAAAATACCCTTTCTTCTAATTGGATTTGCAAACTAATATTTTATAGCTAATTTTTTTTGTTGAAAATACTGTTTCATGGGCCATGGGTATGGGTCTACTCAGTTTTAGTAAAATTTGCTTTTTAAATTAAAGTTGGCCAACTCTTAGTTGAGAATCGTTGTGAACAATCCTAACTTAACTGGGTAATATGAAATGAACATTAGAGCTCTTTTTTTTGTGTCAACTAAGGCTTTGTGATATAAAATTTGACTCTGCATTTTTTTAAGTGTGGCAACATTGAGATATTATTTTTTAATGTATGTACTTATACTTATTGATTTTGGAGCCTAGATTGAACCCGAAGTAATTGAAGGTCTAAATTATTATGTGAATCTTATCCAAAAATGAGATGCTTACTTATTGAACCACTAAAATTACAATTTTCTTTAAATCGTCAGTGTTGATATAAGCAAAATTGCAGTATCAATTTGTTCAAAATTATTTGCGTTTACGGAAATTGAAAATTCACATCCAGAAGTTGAAATTTTTGAAACCTGGGAGACATTTTTTCAGACATTAATTTAAAATTCTACAGTCGAAGAATATTTAAATGCTAAGCAACATTTTTGATTACCTAATTTTACCCTCATTGAACAACCTACGAGATTGTCCTGAAATTATAGCATAGTACATGCTCATATTTCAACTCTTGGCTGGTAGCTTTGACTACTTGTCTTTAAGATTATGCAGAAAATAATAAATGTTTTTTGAGGAGAAAATATCCATTATTTTTTTACTTTGTGTTTGTAACTGAATAATTTTTTTCCTAAGGTCCTTCAAATGGAATCTCACATTAGTAATCACAACGATCGTTCCCAATTCAACGATCTACAATCCCTATTGTGTGGCACATTGCAATCTGTTTTGAGAAAGGTCACTCCTGAGGATGCCCCTCAAATTTCAGATGCTGTAAGTGGCTAATTTTCGCCTTATTTGTTTTTTTCTAAATGGTTTTTTTTTATTAGGTTATGACAGCTCTCCTAACAATGTTCAACTCAAACAAAAGTGGTGGAGTCCAGGAAGATGCACTTATGGCTGTTTCTACGCTTGTTGAAACGTTAGGAGAAGGATTCTTGAAGTACATGGATGCTTTCAAACCATTTTTGTATTTGGGATTAAAAAATCATGCTGAATATCAAGTAAGTATTTGTGTGCTGTATAGATGGACATAGTTTCAATATTTTTTGCTCTAGGTTTGCGGTACAGCTGTGGGACTTACTGGGGACATATTTAGAGCTTTAAGATTCAAAGCTCTACCATATTGCGATGAAATTATGACACTTTTGCTGGAAAATCTAGGTGAACCTTCTGTACACCGTAGCGTAAAACCTCAAATTCTATCCGTGTTCGGCGATATAGTTTTAAGTATAGGAGCTGAATTCAAGAAATATTTGGAGGTTGTTTTGGGAACTTTGGCGCAGGCGTCTCAAGCCCAGGTAATAATCTTTTGGTTTGCTGAAAAATCACTTATAACTTGGCCAGTGTTTAATAAGCAACTGAATAATAAATATAACAGAATAATCAATTTTTAGGCATCCAGTCCTCTGGGTTAAATATTGTCAATTAAATTTGAGTTTCAAAAAAGAATATTCAAAAAAACAAATTAATTTAGGTTGATCGGTCAGACTTTGACATGGTAGACTACCTGAATGAGTTACGCGAAGGAGTCCTAGACGCATACACCGGAATCATTCAAGGCCTAAAAGGCGATGGACCGACACCTTCATCAGAAGTGGCTGCACTAGAACCCCATATACCATTCATAGTTCAGTTTATCACAATTGTCGCGCAAGATACTGAGCACTCGGACGGAACTGTGGCTGTCGCTGCAGGTATTGTAGGTGATTTGTGTACCGCCTTCGGCCCTCCGATGTTGCCCCTTTTGGACTTAGTTCCCATCAATGATATGCTAGCACAAGGACGAAGATCCAGGGTGGGGCGTACTAAAACTCTTGCCACTTGGGCTTCAAAGGAACTCAAGAAGCTGAAGTATGCACAGACGCAACAGCCTAGTGCGCCTGCGGCCAGTTGGTAAGTGAATTTACTTTTTTGTTTCCCAAAAAAAAGAACAGTAAACAAGTGAAAGTTGGCATATATTTTTTTAGGAAACTTGTTGAGGTGCAGCAGAAATTTTATTGAGAACAGCACTGTAAGTTGTTTTGTTTAACAAAATTGTGGTCAGTGTTTTTTTTAGCACTAAATTTTGATATATGCTAGCTTTCACTGGAACTTATGCTTTTTTTGTGATATGTTTGATCTTTCGAATTTTGCCTTATATCCAATTTCCCATTTATTATTATTACAAGTATGAGAATGTTTGCTTGGCCTACAAAACTAATTCACAATCATGAGTTTGCATTTTTTTTTCTCATTTTCCTTAGAAGGATTAGAAATTGTATCGCATGAAACATGGGAAATTGTTTACTATATAGTTACTAGCACAGCTCTAATATTCTATTTTCTAATGCTTATTTTTATAAGTAACCAATTTTTAAGCAGCTCGGCCTTTTGTTCTGTAGATCTTGATATAAATGCAATGTAATAATGTGTTCGATTTTGAATGTCTTTTCTGGAACTTGTTGCAGTGTGTGAATCTCATTCCAATACATTCTCACCATTACAGTATGTGAATCTCAGTCATTGTAGTTTCTCAAGTTGTAAAGTTCTGGACTAGAATAGTCTCGAAATTTTTTGAATATCAAACTGACCACTTCCGAGATGAAAATACAGGGAATAGTCATTATATGTTCCTACTTGAAACAAGGCCTACAGCTTTCTCGACGATTTACCCTACACAAATAACGCAGAGCTCGTTTCTGACAGATAAACACTGATTAAACAGCTGCCTGTGTTGAAAAAACCCAGAATGCTATGCCATATCTGATGTGAGACTCTATAAGTGCATGATACGCTATTTTGGCTGTGTGCTTTCCCAGTTCATGAAGGATGCTTTTCACTATATAACAGCTCTGTGAGAGTTTTTTATTAAGGGTATCAATATGAGTGTCAAATTTAAGTCTTGAATCTATGTGCATACCAAGAAATTTTACAACAGTTCTATCTTCTACCAGTCAAGTGTGATTTCATTAAGAGTGCATTTAAATGAAAGTATATTTGTTTTGGATATGTTGAAAGGAAGCTTTGATGGGCTCGCGTCTCTTGCATCCCCGTACATCTTTAGATCCCTTAACTAATACCAGAGGGCGTTTACTGTTGGACTTCGTTACCATCAACAACCTAGCGGTATTAAATGGAAGAACAGTAAATGATTCTCCTGCACAATTCACTTTCAGTAATGCACGGGGAAACAGTACAATCGATTTATTTTTATCAAATGCTGAGGGTTTAAATTGTGTTGAGAACCTGCAGGTTAACTCAGAAATTTTTTCTTCAACGCATTTCCCGGTTTGTGTCGAGTTAAATATTTTTAGAAGCAATATTAGAAATGTTCAAATTTTGCCTCCAATCGTGCAGTCGACACGCTCCCTTCAGTGGAAGGACGATCGCTTGGCTCGAAATACATATCAGCAGCATTTGCAGTTCTCACCACTAGTTATTCCTAATAATGATATTAATGGCTGTTTTTCAAATTTCTGCGCAGCCTTGAATAATGCGGCAGCGGCAGCGAATTTGATTGTGACGAGGTCCAACTCTGGTATGCCTATGCGAAAAGCTCGCCATAAACCATGGTACGACTATCAATGTTTAGATAGGAAAAAACTAGTACGTCAAAGTTTGAAAGAAGCAAAACTAAACAACTTTAGCCAACTGTTTAGGGCAATTTATTTCGAGCACAAGGCGGAGTACAAACGGCTCTTATCATGTAAGAAGCGCAACTACAACAAGTTATTGTCCGAAACTTTTAGGAATACGCGCGACTCAAGGTCTTTTTGGGAAAATATAAAAAAATTAAAGGGTTTATCGGTTAGGTCTGACTTGAGCATTGAAACGTGGGAAGGTTTTTTTACCGGTGTTTATCATCACAGTGCTAAACTCGAACTGAACTTTTTCGGAACCTTTGACCCGCTATTGGATAAAATAGTCGAACTAAAAGAGCTTCAAATTGTCTTGCAGTCGTGTAAAAATAATAAAGCTCCTGGCAATGATCAAATCCCCTACGAGTTTTTAAAGAACCTGCCACAGAACTGGTTATTGTATTTGTGTACTTTGTTCTCAAATGTAATTAAATGTCACACTGTTCCGGACTCCTGGACAAAAGTAATTTTTTCAATGCTTTACAAAAAGGGCGAGCAACAAGACCCAAATAATTACAGGTCCATCGCTTTGGTTAGCTGCTGTTTGAAAGTTTTTACTCAAGTCTTGTTGAATAGGCTTCTGACCTGGCTAGATACCTATAATGTAATCCCTGAAAGTCAGAGTGGCTTTAGAAAGAATCGAGGGTGCACTGACAATGTTTTTGTACTTCATACTGTCATACAAAATCATCTAAGACTGAAGAGACGAAGGGTGTTTGCTGCCTTTATTGATTTCCGCAGAGCTTTTGACTCGATTTCACATAACCTACTGTGGCACAAAATGTACCAAGTAGGAATCAGTTCAAATCTCATAATGACCATAAAAGACCTTTACGATAAAGCCACGGTTCAGATAAGAGCAACCGAGGGATTAACAAGGCCCTTTCCCATTTCTTCTGGGGTCTTGCAGGGTGAAACTCTTAGTCCTACCCTGTTTAATATTTTTCTGTACGATATTGTCCAGTTTTTTCTGGATCGCGGGGTGGGGGGGTTGAGCATGGACGCTACTAACGATATAACTCTTCTACTGTATTGTGACGACCTTATACTACTCAGCGACTCGGAAATTGATTTACAGAAAAAACTAAATATACTTCAGCAATACGCCAGTGAAAACAATCTTATCATAAATTCAAACAAATCAAAAATAATGTGTTTCAACAGACCAGGACTGCCCTATACAGGTGGGTTCAAATTCTTTTTTAATGGGGATCCTCTAGAAGTGGTAAACAAATTTGTCTATTTGGGAGTCGTGTTCACCCCATCGAACTGCTTTCGGATAATGACGGACAATACAATTTTACGTGCATGTCAAGCGGCAGGTGCGGTTATGTCACTAACATCTAAAATAAAATACAATTCATTTTCTGTTAATAAGAAGCTGTTTTCTGGTTCCGTTATGAACTCGTTTAGTAATTGTTTACCAGTCTGGGGGCCTCGATATGCTGATGTCCTGGAGAAGGTTCAGTCCTCGTTCTTTAAGTCCCTTTTAAGGCTCCCAAAGAATACCTCCCATGCCATAATTAGAGTTGAAACAGACAGTCTGCCTCTGTCGTATTTCGTGTTCAAGTCAACGCTAAACTATTTTATTAAACTATTAGGCATGGAGAATCACAGGTTGCCCAAAATTTGTCTAAATCGCCAGCTCAATTTATTTGGTGGTAATGCCTCCCCTAAGTTTAATTGGGCTTACAACTTTTACAGATGGTTTCAAGAAATCGGAATAACCCACTTGTGGTCTTTAAATAACATTTCTTTAAAACGTAGTAAACCAGAGATATTAAAACATTTTCGTGAAAGATGTTTGCAGACCGACTATCGAGTGGCACGAAATTCTACGTATACTTTGTTTTATAGTCAATTTGATTTAAATAAGCATTCGTTGAAGTACCTTTATTCTGACTGTGCTTTTTACATGATCAGAGTTATTACACAAATACGACTTTGTTCGAGTTATAACTGCAATATATTCTGGAATGGCATAGCTTATAGAATTAATCAAGAAGAACTCTGTTCGGTTTGTAACCTAAGAGTGCCTGAAACATTTCTTCACGTTCTCTTTGAATGTCCTTTATATCGTAGTGTTAGGCCGGCAGATTGGGGTGATATACCGAATTTTGCTCATAATTTGGACAATCTAAACCCTCAACTGGTGAGGGTTATTTTCCAAACCGTTACTAGTATTCTTAAACTTAGATCGTTCTTAAGAAATGAATAGACCTATTCTTTAGATTTTAAATTTATCTTCCTATTCTCCTCGTACCTGAATTATTATAGAGTATTATTTTTTGTTCTTTTTCAATTTCAAATTTGGGTTTACATATTTAAACGTGTAGCATTACTTAGATTAAGTTTATTATTGTGCAGAACCTACTGTTATAAGAATGTATATTCTTTTTAAACAATAAAGAATTGATTGATTGATTGATTGGATATGTTGAAAACCAAGTGATTTGCGTCATACCACCCCTTGATTTTTTCCAAGTCTTTTTCAATAATGGTGTTAAGAATTGTCACATCTTTGTGTCGCCAAAGTATGCTTGTATTGTCTGCAAAAATTACAAAAGCTCCCAAAATTGTCAGTGCTGCCAGGTCGTTAATGTAAATTAAAAAGAGAACCGGTCCAAGAACTAACCCTTGAGGAGCACCATGGGTTAAATTTAGCGTCTTTGAATTATCTTTACCATGAATTCTTATTAGTTAAGATCTAACCGAAAGGTAAACCAGCTCAACTCCGTTCCCCTGACTCCATAGTGGCTCATTTTCCGCAGCAGTATTTCGTGATTAACACAGTCAAAAGCTTAAAAGTCACAAAACACTGCCGCAGCTTTCTCACCATCATTGAGAGCAAAAAAAAGTCTCTCCAGAAACCTAAATATGGCATCATTGCACCCCTTTGATTCCTGAAATCCGAACTGATCCGGTGTCAGAACATTATGGGCTTTTAAGTAACTTACCAGTCTTATTTTCACTATCTTTTCTATAATGTTCGATAGCGTAGTCAGTAAACATATTGGACGGTACGCAGATGGATCTTGGTTCTCTCCACCTTTAAAAATAATTGCTGCCAGTTTAAGACTGTTCGGAAAGATTCCCGAGACAAACGATTCATTTATACAGTCAGCGAGTGCAGTGAGTGCTTCATCAGATAGATGTTTGTGTTTCAGTGTTATTCCATCTTTTCCTGAGGAGTTTTGTTTTTTAATGGTTTTTATAACCATTCTTTTGTCCGTTTGTTTTTTCCATCAGTTTATCATTTTCTGCTTTTAATTCCATGGTTTCAAGGTCCGAGAGTTCTGTAAGTAGGCTGGAGTTCAATTTTCCTTTGAGTTTTTTTGTCAATGCCACAATATCACTCTTTAGTTCTTGTGTGATATCCTTTTCAGCCTGCAAATTATTTTTGAGCTCGAAGCATAGTAATTTGCTTTCCTTTAGTTTACTCGTTAACTCTTGAGTCTCTGTATTTATTCTCCTACTTTCAAATTCCAACTTTATATTTGTTGTCCTACTTTCAGCCAAATCATGGTCCAGCTTCTTGATACCCTTTGCCAATTTCTCCCTCTCTATAATTTCTTCATTCAATTTCTTAATTTCTTTGTTTAGTTTTTCTATTGTGCTTATTTGGTGCTGAATTCTCTTTTGCATCTCTGTCATAGGTCATCTACTCAAAGCTCCTAGACCCTCTTTGAAATCTGATAATATAATTGTTTTTGTCTACCATCTCTGTCTTCAACTTAGTGGAAAGTCTGTCTCCAAGTTGATGTATTCATTTTGAAATTCTTCTATTAGGTTGTCTTTTCCTTTTATCTCCTCTAAGCATTTTTCGTGTACTTTTCTGAGGTGCACCAGCTCATCATTAGAATCAAAGATTTGTGTTTTACAGTTTTTGCAACAGTATATTAATTGTCTCTGTCCTAGAACAAGACAATCATTTTCAGTGCCTGTCGTTCCTGAATAATTCTTGCAGAAGGCATTTCTACAAAAATCGCAACATGCTCCGAATATTTCGCCATCCTTAATCTGCTATCTTCTTTTATTAAAGCATTTTTCATTGCAAATTATACATTCCATTTTAATTTAGCATAACTCATGAACGGCCCAGTTGAATGCTAAACATTTTAAAAACTAATGATGTTGCTGGTTTCTACTGTGTCCGAGCTGTAACCACAAATTTGGATGCAACCATAGCAAAATCAGTGTATTTTGCATTGATACAATCCCACCTTTCCTATAGACTACCTTTTTGGGGCTGTTGTAGCCAATACCTGTTTCAATCAGTGTTTGAACTCCAGAAGCGAGCAGTGCGCTTTATCGATGGTGCCTCCTCTATAGAAAATTGCAAACCTTTATTTAAAAAATTTTACATCCTAACATTGCCATGTCTTTTTATACTTGAATCGGTAGGTCTCTTACATAAACACATATCTTTGTTCCCTGTACACCAAACTGCCTTCTCCACATGACAGACGCACAATATTCCGCTCCCGGTTCCGCTCTCTATTCTTGTGAAGAACTCAATAATTTACAACAGCGTGAAATTCTATAATCACCTTCGTACAACTATCAGAAACGTCTCAGATATTTCATGGTTTCGAAGCCATTTCAGGAGCACTCTACTTCAACATTCCTTTTATACGGTTGATGAGTTTCTAAATGTCTCTATATAGGACTAAAGCCTGCTTCTGTTGCATGCATGTTATCTTTTGACTTAACAGTCGTTGTATTTATCCTAGTCTTAAATTTGCCTGTCATTTGTTTGTTGCTTATCTTTTTTTGTACCATTTATTACTAACTTATTTATTTTTTTGTGCACAATGTTAATGTTATTTACTGACTGGATTTAATCTTAATATTAGTAAGTTTTGCATAGCATTAGGTAGGGCAAATGAAATGCTCAATGCTCCGCTCTAGACTTTATTTTACCCTTGTTAGAAGGATAGGAGCAGTTGGTGCTAAATATGCTTAAACTGATCACAATTTTTTAAAAAATCCCTTTTTTAAAATGTTATCATTCGTCAAGTATTTCATCCAATTACATTAACATCTTATACTTCATCAGTTTCTTGGTCTTCAGCAATTTGGTTGGACAAATCTTATCATTCTGAGTTTGTATCACCAGTTAAACATTTCATGTTTTTTCCTTTCTCATGGTTCAATACTTTCCTCTTTATCTTGTGAATAGATTGCTATGAAGCACTTTTATTTCCACTCCTTACTCATACCCTTTTACTCTCTTTACTCTTTACAGACTTTTCTAGAATAGTTGTAAATTTTTCATTACAGATTTCCTAGTCAAGCCCATAAAGACCTATTAACAACCAACGCTGGCACAACAGGAACCTCTTTGGTCTATGGGTACCACAATTATACCACTAACGTGGTACCATTCGGTAATTAAATGGGTCAAGTGTGCCGCGAGTAATTATTATAATTATTATTTTTTAAACAAAATTATGATGATTTTTTAAGTATGTATGTTTTTCGTGTAAGAAAAGAAGAAATCGTGCTATTTTTTTAAATTACTACATTATCGCCCTCCGTTTTGAATTGAACAAAAATAATTTGTTGGCTGTTTTTACAATCTTTAGTTCAGTTTTCTATAAAAAATAATGTTTAGACAGTCAAATTATTGTAAGAATAGTCAAAGATTGATATGTTAACTTTTTAATACTTTTAAGTAGGTAGGTATACTTTATTGATTGGAATTATTTTATTGAGAAATAGAAGTTTTTAGTCTTAAATTGTTCAAAACAAAACGAGTGTTTGATTTTGGTTTTTCTCTATAATTTCTGAAACAGGGAATTTTTGGATATTTTGACCAAATGGCTGATGTGGATAGAATATGAATGAAGCATGTGAATGTTATTGCATCAAGTATTAAGTTTGTTCCAACCCGTCAACAAATCGTCCCAGAACGGTTTCGGAACCACTCTGTATATGGATTTCGGTTTCTGCACAAAAATTTAAGGTTTTGCGCAGAATCCTGACGGTAATATTACGGTTTCCTGCTGGGTTGAAACAAATCTATTATTTGTAGTACATATCGAGGTACATATATCAGTTATTACTCTCTAGAAAATGAAGTAAATGCTAAAGTTTAGGCATTTATTTGGTTTTTATTCATAGGACCTGCTGATTCTAATGCTGTGGTGATAACATTTACTTTATTTGTATTTATTTATACCAGACAATTTTATATTAAAAAAAAACTTATAGGGGTCCAAGCTCCCATGTGACAAAAACCCAAAAATTCCTTGTCTATATTTCCCCATTTATTACAAATAATGTCCCAGAGCAAATATTTATAATTTTTCTTTTAGTCTAATTTAACCGAGATTTTTTCTCAAACTATTCATTAACTAACAAAACAAATACATATTTGCTCTATACGACAAGATTCAAAAGGACATGTTCCGATTTTTCTTGTCTTCATTCATTTATTTTGAAGCAAACAAAAACCGATTCCATATTCATTGAATAAAAGCTCAGGTACACGTGAGGTATGATGATAGTGAGAAAAGGTAAGAAGAGTGTGCTTTTTTAAATCTGGGTAAGTCGTTGGTGAAAGATTGATGTTGTTATTGTATTGTTGTTACAAGGGTCGACTGATGGTGCTGCCTTGGGTTGGGTGGGTGGGTGTTCGATTGGTTGGAAAAAAGAAATACCCTTTATAAATTCTCACAGGATTTTGTCAAATTTTATGGATTTTTTTAAAATTTATTAATACTAATACATGCATAATAAGATTTCACAAGTAGGTACAAGTGCAATTATTGAAATCTGACTGATTTCTTAATGTCGACAACCTTTTAATATTGAACCTTTATTATAACATTTCACATGAAAATCCAATTGGGACATATTTCTGATATTATGTAATTCAAAGTAATCTGATTGGCTCTGATTTCCCAATTGTAGAGTCTCTCCTAAAAAGAATAAGAAATTTACAGATCATCATATATGTATATTGTAAATATCAAAAACTGTTTCTAAGTAAATCCATTTCTGATTTTGATTGTGATCATTTTTTGTAAAAATTCAGATTTTTTCCAACCAAGTGTGTGAACTGATTAAACTGCCACAACAGTTTTGGGGAGGGTTAGACCATAAGTAAAAATTAAAAGAATCTGTGATTTGGAAAGGTTTCTACATTGTTGCCAAAAAAAATAAGAATTCCATTAGTTTTTTCATCGTAAATAATAATTAATAAGTAAAAAAAAAGAAACCTTTCCAATGTAAAAAAACGTAATTATAATTGTAGCTAATTATAATTATTGATTCCTCGTATGTATGTGATATTTGGCTGTGGGTAAAATTTGGCAAATGGGGGAGGGGGAAGTTCTCAACATTCCAGTATCCAGAATGGCTAAAAATCAGTAAGGTAACCGCCCCAAGTACCTCCAAATATATAACCCACAGCGTATTAAAGGCTGTATGAACTTTAGTATGTAAGATTGTATGGTTGTTATTTTGTATGTAAGATTGTAAGTATATTTTTTTAAAACTTTTTATTATTTAGTACGATAAGGATTCTTTCCACTTTAAAACTATAATAGGCCTACATATTTATTTATTATTTTTTAATAAAAAATTCTGTTGCTGAATAATTTTTTCTTAGAGTTTTTGGCATACAGTGTGTGACATTAGTATTAAATTTTAAATTTTAATGTTTTAAACCTATTGCTTTTTTGACCAACTATGCAATATTTTCTCATATTGATGTACAGGGTGGTTTACTCTTGATAAGAATCAGTGTATAATCTAGAAACTATTTTTTATTGTATTAGCAACTATTTTATTTTAGTTTTCAGAGCAACAGATTTTTTAATTCGGTAATTTCGTGTATACCTACAATAAAATAATATTGAAATAAAAAAACACCCTGTTGCCTAATAAAAACAATTATAGTTTTTCCAAAATCAATTGGAATAAGGTGAACATAAATCATAACTGGTGGCAGTGTATTTCTTTTGGGAATTTTCAGTGACCAGTCAACCACCAATTGGTACCTTGTTCCAATTGAGTTTGGAAATACTATACTATAAAACACAAAAAAACTAAAATACAGGGTGTATTTTCCACATTATCTATTTTAACTTTAATATCAAACGCTATAGGTATACTAATCAATAATAAAAGAAAACATATTTTTTATATTTTTTGCAGACCAAAAAAAAAAATATATAAATTAAAAAAAGGCTACAAATGTTGAGGGAGGAAGAAGGATCGAAAGTGTGGAAGGCTGCGTTGTTTTTTTTTGCTTGATGATGGGTGTTTTGGTTACTTTGTTTGTGCCATGATTGTTACCGCGTATTGGATGGGGGGGTAAGAAGGACAACAATTCAGTGGTGGTTTTTGAGTATAAGACTATTTACCTAAAAACAAAAGTGAGATTTATTATTTATTACTCAAACTATAATCTGGAGGTTGAGGTTTACATTCGGGGCCAAATCTTACTTATATCTTGTCTGTTTGATAGAAAATTTGTCTTGGCGGAAAATCAACCCTTACATACAATTATTTTATACTCAAAATCCATTTGCTGTATATGTACCTACTTCCCCTGGGGGTATTTTCTAGCTGATGTTTGACAATAGTCGATTTTTATAAATGGTGAAAATGAAGACTGAATAATATCCCTTATGATAGTTGTATAAGTATATAAGCTCAAATGGCCGTGAGTAATAAATAATGAGAGTTGCTTGATTGCGGCTGTATTCCAAGTTATTTTCTTTCACACATTTTTTTTAGGATCTAGTTTTATTTTCTCTATGTACAGAACGTTATGTTTATTTGGCTGAAGCATTTTAGACATAACGTTCTCCAAGTTAGATATTTTATTGTCGAATGTCAGTTAAGTTTTCTTTTATCAAAAAAAAAGTATTATACATATATATTTTCCTGTCGAGCTCTTTTTCAGTTCCACTGTGGAATCAGAATCTTTTTGAAAGGATCTTTTGTAGTTATCATATCAGGAACAGAATAAAGTATTTCATTTAATGTGTTTTTTGTTTTATTTGTCAATTTGAGTTGGAAGAAGAAAAATACATTATTTTCCAGAACTTCAGGACTCAAATAACTCGACAACCTGACATTGAAAGAGCAGTACCCAGTCAAAAGGAAAAATCCAGTTGATCCTGGGGCGTCTAGAATGCAATTTATTCTGGCAGTGAAGTCATACTGAAAGCTTTGAAGGTCTGGTAATTCCTTTAGACTTTGAAGTAAATAACTTTATTTTAAGTTAATTGAGAATATTCTCGAAATAAAGACAAATTTGATAGATATTCATTCTTAATTTAAGCAATTTTGAACATATCTATTCGAGGAATCACCAGGTTAAAAAATACCCAATCTGGATATTTGTCAAACGTGTTCATTTCGCTGGTTATTATACTTTCAGACCGCTGCGTGTATGCTTTGATCTTTATGAACCAGGCCTATTGTACATTTAATTGAATAAGTAGATAAAGTTCGTTTCACCAGGGTTCATACTTGACCTTGAAACTTGATAAAAAAGGGTTGTCGTAGATTAATTCATTGACACGTTCAATTTTTTTGACAAATTAAAATGAATAACGTCTGGTTTAAGAACCGACGAACGTTTTTGACGTCATTGATTTGTTTCAGTCAATTTTTATTTATTAAACAAGGAAGACAAATGTTGGTGGCAAGTACAAACCCTGGTGAAACAAACTTTACCTATAAATAGGACCTGTGGAAAAAAAAAACGTGCTCAACGTTTGACTATCTCTAATGTGCAAACAAATATTGTCCATTATTGATATGTGAATTCGGGTAAATTAACAAAGCACACTTCCGCTTAATACAGGGTGACTCAGAGTAAATTTCCCTTTTCGAGCGCGTCCTGTACATCCAACTTAATATTTTTGGGGAGGTTAGCGCTGGCAATATGGGGCGACTGCGTGCGGATTATCAGTAAATACAGAGCAGTGGTCGAACGAGCAACGCGCGTTTATGGTCGAGACGTTTTCTAAATTGAATGATTCTTATGTCGCGGCACGGCGACGTTTTTGTAACCATAACCATATCCGGCGTATACGTGACGCTACGTCAACAAATGTTTTGAAATCGTGGGTTCAAAGATTCAAAGTGGTACAGTGGCAATTGGCAAATCAGAAGCGCCCCGCCATGTTTTCGAATTGAGCGCCTCGGAATTTCAGTCGCAGCACGTCACACAATTTCAATGTTCTCTGGCGTTCTGGTGGACTTTTGTTAGCCGGGACGCTTCGGATTTGCAATTGGACCACTTTGTCTGAATCTTTGAACCCATAATTTCAATAAATTTTTTGACGGAGTATCACGTATACGCCGAATATTGTAACGGTTACAAAAACGTCGCCGTGCCGCGTTTGTTTGATTTTAAAAACGTCTTGACACTAAACGTGCGTTGCTTGTTCGACCACTGCTCCATGTTTACTGATAATCCGCACGCAGTCGCCGTAAATTGCCAGCGCTAACCTCCCCACAAATATTAAGTTGGATGTACAGGACGCGTTCGAAAAGGGAAATTTACTCTGAGTCACCCTGTAAAACGTTTATTATGAAAGCAAAAGCTACCTTATGATTTAGATTTTGGAAAAGTTTGGAAGGGCATAACTTTTTTTCTATTATAGATAGAAAGCTGAAATTTTCACTGAATCTTATCTCAATAAAGGGACTACAATCCCTGAATTTTAGCTCATTTGCACTCATAATTCCTGAGATAAAATCGTGTTAAGCAATTTGGGGTGATTTATCAATTTTTACAATTTTTCTGAGTGCCTTTTTTCATAGATTTCGGCTTCAAATCTGAGAATAATTAGGTGTGTGGTGTTTTGGGAATGTTAGTTGACCATTAGGATAAACAGTCTCAACAAAAAAAAAAATTGAAATTTCATCGTTTTAGTAAGAAGGCTACCTTATGATTTTGATTTTGGAAAACTTTGGAAGGGCATAATTTTTTTTTCTATTTTAGATATAAGTAAAGCTGAAATTTTCACTGAATCTTATCTCAATATAGGGACTATAATGCCGGCAAATTTCAGCTCATTTGCACTTACCTATAGTTCCTGAGATAAAATCGTGTTAGGCAAATTGGGGTGATTTATCAATCTTTCAATTTTTCTGAGTGCCTTTTTTCATAGATTTCGGCTTCAAATCAGGGAATAATTTAGTGTATGAAGTTTGGGGGATGTTAATTGACCATTAGGATACAAAATCTCAACAAAAAAAATTTGAAATTTCAACTTTTTAGTAAGAAGGTTTTATGATTTAGATTTTGGAAAACTTTGGATGGGCATAACTTATTTTCTATTATAGATATAAAGCTAAAATTTTCACTGAATCTTATCTCAATAAAGGGACTACAATCCCTGAAAAAGTCATCTCATTTGCACTTATAGTCCCTGAGATAAAATCGTGTTAAGCAAATTGGGGTGATTTATCAATTTTTCAATTATTATGAGTGCCTTTTTTCATAGATTTCGGCTTCAAATCTGAGAATAATTAAGTGTATGGAGTTTGGGGGATGTTAATTGACCATTACGATACAAAATCTCAACAAAAAAAAATTTGAAATTTCATCGTTTTAGTAAGAAGCCAAAGGTCTTCACCAAACCAGTTTTGCTTATAGACATTTTTGATATTGCTTCTTTCTAACCGAAAGAGCGATATTGAATTTTAACGTCAATTTAACGTCACCTGTATATACATAGGTACTATAATCGATCAAAATTGGATCCGATAGAGAGGTCATGCACAACACAAAACAGCTTGTGAGGGTTGATACCACGATGTCTTCATGCAAGCCAATAGAATGTGAAGTACCACAGGTTTTCGTGTTGGGTGTTGGGTCCAATATTATGTTTGCTATTTATCAGCTGATTTGAGCTGATTATTCTTGTTTCACTTGGAGCAAACCCAGATGTTGTAGTTCTCCATAGAACTTATGTCCAATGAGTTGTTTACCGCATTAAATAATCGTGCGACTCTAACCTTCTCTGCTTCAACGCTGTAAAAACTAAAGCTCTGTCATATGAAAGTAAGTTGCAACCTATTGTACTCGATAACACCATTACCACAGTCATTGAGGTAGCTCATCCACTACTATTGACACGTTGATTCTGTTAAGTTTCTGGGCCTTATTATAGACAACTCCCTGAAATAGAGCTCGCACATCGATTCTTCATCCAAAAAATTGTTAGATTTACAATCAAATAGCCATAGTATATAGATAGTTGATTAATAAGGTGTGTAATGTCAAGTTTTGTAAGTTTCACGAGATGAATTATAGAAAGGTGTTCAATCGTAATCAAGTGTAATCGTGTTTTTCTATTACATTCACAAACTGATATTTGGCGATTCAAAGATTCCATCCAGGTTATGGGCCCAGAAAACAAATTGTGATAAGTTTGGAAATAAGCAGCTAAGCTTGTGTATTTGTAAAAGATGGCCTCGAACTCTGGAAGTAATTTCGCCGTGGAAAAGTTTAGAATATTTCAGTTTGATGGTGAGGACTATGACCATTGGAAACTGAGCTTGATCACAATGGAATTAGAGCTTGTGTGGAACGAGCCATAAATTAAAATTCACAAGACGAATAAATGTGATAACATTATTGTACAGTGCGTTGCTAATTCGCACTTGGAGTACATCAAAGATGAACCATCATCTTGTGATATGTGATTGGCACCTGAGAAAGTGTTTCAACGGAAGGACATTGCAAGCCAACTCTATCTGAGAAAAAAAATTGTTAACTATGTGGTTAGAGAAAGGCGGAACACTTGAAAACCATTTCATAAAATTTGAGGAAACTGTAAGGGAATTAAACTCCGTATGAGCAACACTAGAAGAAACCGATATGGTTTGTCATTTGCTGTTATCGTTATGATAATATTGTTACTGCTCTAGAAACTTTATTGAAACAAGATAAATTGACGTTAGAATTTGTGAAGGCCAAACTTTTAGATCAAGAGATGAAGAATCTGAATAGAGAAGATTCATCTTGTGTAGCAGCATTTAGTGGGTTTAATAAAACCAATAAAAAGAGGAATATTGAACACGAGAAGAAATTTAATAATCAAAATAATCCACATGCCTAGTGCGTTTATATCGACACAATGTTCCCAAGTCTTCGAGGTGGAAAATTACCCTAACCAGTGGTAACTATCAATAAAATTAGAGGTGTTCCAAAAATTGTTGTCAAATTTTTAAACTTGGAAAACCCAATAATTTTGCCACCCTCCGACGTCATGAGCCCTAGAAGCGACCATCTGTGATAAGAGGCTTACATGGACGATTCAAAAGAGGACAACTATTGAAAAGAAAATACTGGAAGCTGGGCTGTCAGCCTTAAACAACTTTGTTGAACGTATGACAACAGAAAAGCACTGTCCTCGACATCCAACCAACTAGATGAAGTGGTAATTTTCCAACTTGAATCAGAACAAATAATTATTATAGGTACTGCGGTAGGATATCCAAATGGAAATACAACTAAATATTTAATATAAACTCTATTACTCTTATCATCCCTCTGCCAACACTTTATGTTCAGAGAAGAAACTTCCGGAAAAACTGTTCTCATGAATCGGTTCAGTTGGCTGTTTCAACAATAATAATTTCACATTCAACTTCTATAGGTAGTTAGTCAGTTATTATCCATCAATAGAAAGTACCTACTTTCGGTGGAAAATAAATCGATAGGAAATAATGTAGGTAAGTCTGTTTGTGATGGTATAGGAAAAATATTGTACATAAGTCGTTTAAAAGTGTCTTTCATATAGGTACCTCCTAATATGATATAGGTATCTACTATTTTATATCTGGGCATATGGATAGGTTTTGAGATAATATGCAATATTTAGCAATACATTTTTATATGTGAACCTTTGGATGGACATTTGAAAAATATATTCCTAATTTGTCTTGGATGATCTACTGAAAATATTAGGGTAAACGGTTTTTCCATAACAATACGAAATAAAAATTAGTTTTAAAACTG